TGCATTGAAAAAAGTAACCCTACCATGACAATTAACAATACAACAGTAATGGTATTGTTGCAAATCCTTTGAACCATGTACAAGATCTTCACATGTTAACAATGTGAAAATATTCAATGCAAGGCCAACTCAAGTAAACTCAACACCCCCACAGAAAGTGTAAATCCAGATGAATTTTGTCTTCAACAAACTACTACAAAATAACAAAATCTGCTCAACTCATTCTCCAGAATAAAAGTACTTTAATTAGTGCCTCCTCCTACAAAATGAAAATTTACTTTGACCACAATAAGTTTTACTTATTTTATTTCTTTTTTCAATTTAAATTCCTAAAGTCGAGACTAGAAGCTTAGTGACAATTAAAATGAAATTTCACAATAAAAAAGTGGGGGATACTTGGTAGGGAGGGTTTGGGGAAACAGCAATGGGAATGGAATGACAGATTGTGTTTGATAATACTACAAAATTGGTTGGCTAAAGGGTCAAATAGGCCCTTGAACTGACTTAAAGTGTTTAATTAGCCCCTTATATAAGAGGTTTTGCCCGGCCGTCGCCAATTGGGGTAGTTCCCGGTGGAAATTTTTGATGAAATCGTTTTAGCATCTTCTTCATTAAGTCTAGTTTACTCATATCAAATTTAAGCTAAAAATTCAACCGGGAAGGCAGTCAAATGATTTTTTGAAGATAACTGTGAAGTTAAACAGCGCAGTACATTTTGGAAAATCATTTGACTGCCTTCTCGGTTGAATTTTTAGCTGAAATTTGGTATGGGTAAACTAGACTTAATGAAGAAAATGCTCAAAAAATTTCATCAAAAAATTCCACCCGGAACCGCCCCAATTAGCTACAGCCGGGCAGAACCTCATATATAAGTCAGTTCAACGGTTTATTTGACCCCTTAGCCAAATTGGTTTCATCTCCCGCTTTTGGGCACTCAGCCATACACCTCCCAAGAGGGGTGAGTGTATGAAACTCATTGCCCCTTTCTCTGAAACTCGTTCCCGTCCCCATTACTTTAAATCAGCAATGCACACAGTACAATGAAATTACCATAGATTCAAGGTGCTTGTCAATCGAAGAAACTTCCTCCCGGATAGCAAGCAGCGCTTCGGCCGAGGAGATGAACGCCCGGTAGTTTACCACCGCCACCTCCTGCATTTGCCTCTGAATTCGTTCCGCATCGACTCGTAGCAGCTCCGGTTCCTGAAATTGTATATCAATTCACTCAGGTACGATTAAATACAGAGATGTATGCCCTGACACTTGTGCTTAGGAGGACCTTGTGAAGGCGATCAAGAGTGAACGAGAGGAGTTCGGACACATATGGCTGTTGAGAGGCGGAGGCAAGGGGGAGAAGGCCAGCGACCGTGGATGTTTCATCGGATGAGACTTCCGACTCCATTTTTTTCAGATCACAAAACTCCGGTTGTCCTTCGTTTGACTGAAGATAAGTTTAACGGGGCAAAAATAACTGAGGAGTATCCAGGACCGACATATGGGTATACATTTTATCCGAATAAATTGAACATATTGAACTGTACCCACCTTATTCTCACCATGTTTGTGAGAGTTTTTTTTATGTGTGAACTCAGTGACAATATTTTGTTTGTGCAAAATATTGTCTATGAATCGAGATTCACAGACAAAAAAGAAAACTTTCACAAACATAGACGGGTACAAAAGTGGGTATAAGAGTGAGTACAAGAATCATTTTTGTTCAATATTAAGAGAGGTGTCTTGATATCTGCTATACTCCCTCCCTATTTTAAAAAAAAAATACTTTTGGTTATGACATACTACGTACTATAGTAAGATTTAAAGAAGAATACAAAATTTAAGGAATAATAGTAAGGATAATGAATAGTATAAAAGTATGAGAGAAAGTGAAAAAGCAGGAAAGAAATGATAAAAAATAAGGTTAATAGAGCATTTTTAAAAGAAAAACCTTATCAAAAAGAGAAAATGTAGGGAACTTTTAAATATATCTCGAAATGAAAGTGTAAGGAACTTTTAAATACGGAGAGAGTATTAAAATTAAAATGTACGGAGTGCTACCCAATAATTTTAAGAGAAAAGGGGCAAATATGCCCTCAAACTATTTGCGTTTTTGCAATCAGACTCATGAACCTGAAGACTTGCAGATACACATATCAACCCGTTGAAAATTAAGCAATCAAAACTCTTTTACCTGTTGGTGCCGACAATTTCTCATCTCCTTACCGGTTCATTTTCAACGTTCAGATCCCTTGAAACGCCATTAACACACAACAAATCCGTCTCTATGAATAGTTGACAGGTGCTTTGCAACAACACACGTTCATACACAATCTTCACGTAGTTTTCGAACTAAAAACACCTCTCGTCTCCAGAAAAAATCATTTGTGTTCTTGCTTGGTTTCTGTTCGCTGGAACTGCGGATTGTGTGCTCATACGATTGTTCATAAGCCACCATATCATGTGAAACGATCGTTGCAACGCTCCTATCACCATGGGAGACATTAAATACGTTTTAACGAAATTGTGCGTTGCACAAACTTTGTCCTTTTATGTTCCTTCTTATTTCTGTTTTTCTTGTCTATTTTAATTATAATAATAATTAATTTCTTTGTTTTCTGAATTCACCCAACAAACTTAAAACGTATTCGTAGTTTGTCAGTGCTGTGAACAAACTTTAACCTTTTTCCTATGTTTTCGGAAAACGTAAGAACGGAAATGGCTTCACAGGAAATTCAGAGTGTTTGTTGGGCAGAATGTGCCAAATGACAATCACTCTGAAAGTGGAGCTCCGATGAACAATGGTTCACAACGTGGAACATCTGTTTCAGGCAACCAAGAGACAATCCCTATGGTTACCATGGCGAGCAACTATGTGGAGAAACCTGAAAAATTCAATGGGTTAAACTTCAAGAGGTGACAACAAAAGATGTTCTTCTAACTCACTACTTTTGGTCTTGCAAGGTTCTTGACCAAGAACGTTCCGGTTGTAACCGGAAACGGGGTGGATGTGCAATCTCTCAACGCAGTTGAGGCATGAAAGCATCGAGACTTCAATTCCTTTGCTGAAACTATGGGTTGAACGGGTTGCATGATGCTATTTATAGCAAACTAGCCATGTGGTGTATGTCTTCTTCTTGCATTTCTTCACATCACCACGGAGGCAGATTACAAGGAGGAGGGCAAACTCTCTCGATCTTGTAGCCATAAGGGGTGTGTCCGCCATCGAACTGCTTCCTCGCGAAGAGGTTTGGCCTTATCCTTGTGAGCATCGATATAATTAGATCTACATACTTGTGTGTGCGAATGTGTTTTAAGGTTGGAATTGGGGATGCAGCGATGGAAGATGACTATTCTTGAAATACACAAAGCTATTAGTGGAAAGAGGAAATTTCAAAATTGAAAAACAAAACATGCTCGATCATAAATGAAATTTGCTCAAGAACCCAAACAGGAGGGCTCTTCTGGAACCATGCAAGAGGTGGATGGGGTTTTCGGCATGGGGGTCGACGTTGACCTAGTTTAATCCACGTGAGAGAGAGCTTCGTCCTCATTCACATGAACGGCTGAAACACGACTCTCTTGACCAATCAACATAAGAGCGTGGCCTTCTTCTTTCTCAACAGGGATGCAACACAGCTATTTCAGATCCAGATTTATCAAAACAAATCTCTATTAGAATTGAAAGTAAATTATTTAGATTCAGTTTGGCACATCTGATTATGAATATATGTCAAATTAAGAGCAACGTCTCTCGGTCTATCTCGTTAGATGAACAAGGTGTTACTTGGATGTGTGATTCTTTCAATTCGATACAATTTGGGGCTTCACGTATTTTTACAAGGTATGTGCACACACGATCATAAAATACATAGAGCATTTGAAGCAAATAAATTCGGGGGTTTATGTGTTTAGTTGATTCTGGAAATCAGAGGAGTTCAACTATAATTATCCTAGAAGGATGGAGAGGTGAAGGGTTTAGAAGTTTCTTTTCAGCTTTGTTGGGCCAACGAGATAGGTTGAAAATTTTCAAGAAGTCGCCACTTGTGGATGTTGGGGTAGTTTGCTCGGAGAGAGTGTCAGATTTGGGGGTTGTTTGTTGGGACAAAGCGTCCTCTTTTACAAACACAAAATCAATATCCTCTTTAATTTTTAAAAAAGATTTGCATTATCTTGGGCTTATTTTGTAATGAGATAACATTTCGAGCAGGGCTATTATGATTCGGAATACTTCACAAGGGACATCAACTTTTGAAACCAAGGAGATAAATGTGATAGATATCCTTGAATCTACTCCTCTCCGAGTTTCTTTTTCGCCTCAAAATACTGAACCTCTATTAGCGGATGGAATGATTTATTCTCAGACTGAAGTTTTGGAATCCAATATTTCGAGCAGAAAAAATCTTGAAGTTACGCCCGTTCAAAGAATACTTTATGATCATGCGCTCCTAAATCGCGTCGAGACACTAAGTGGGACTCTGCCAATTCTAGATTTCTGCCTCGACGAGGTACTCGTCTCAAGGCTAAACAAATGACTGACACATAGCACCGCTTCTATCTTCACCGAATTAGCTTATGGATATTTTGGAGAGTTCAAATCATTTTCGGGCAACTTAATACAATTCGATGAGGAGCTCATCGTTTGCTTCAGGGTTTTGAATGGCGGTGGATTTTCTGGGTCTTTTTGGATTCTTCGTTTTCCTTTTTTACTCATCAGCGATTTTGTTTCACTCGATTCTTTTATTAGCTTTCTTTCATCATCATTTTGTACTCTTCTCAGAATGTTTTCTTTTGGATTGAAATTTGCTGGTCTGGTCTAGTAAACGTTTGATCTCTGTGTATTTTATAATTACAGAAGTCTTGTCTGGTCTGTTCTAATCTGGGACTGAAAGTTGTCCAAAAGAAAATGTTCTTAATAAAATTTTAATAAATTTGAGTTAAAAAAAGGTTTAAACAGGTAATTACCACTTTGAATATCAGCGGAGGAGGCCCAAATGATGCTAACGTTCAGAGACCTTCACGGGCCAAAAAGTCTTTCAATCTCGACGGTAACAATCCAGTTTAGAATTTTTAAACGCCAAATATCCAAATTCACGTGCCAGAAATCCGAATCCCACAGAAATTTGTTCTCTTTTGTTTCTCTCTCTAGACTAGGCTACAAATAAAGCATCACTTCCTTATTTCTTTCTATCTCATCTTTTGTGTTTCCTGAACTCCTAGGCTTAGATCCGAGGAGTTTTGGAGAGAACCGAAAAACAGCCCCCACAAGCGAAAGAAAACCCTAACCCTAAAAGTTTCTACGCACCCGCAGATCTCCATCCATCTTCACTATTATCAAGTACTCTCTCGCTCTCTCTTTATTTATGCTCGTGTGTATTTCTAAGTGTTTTTCTAGATGTAAATTTACTTCTTTGTTGGGGTGGATTAAAGTTTTGGTCTTTTGGTTGATCGGTGCTCTACAATGGTTGGATTATAATCTAGCTGTTGTTTTATTGGTGAAAGATCTGTTTGATAGGATTGATTGAATAGTTTGTGATCTAAATTTCGTATGCTCAGGTGACGGTACGTTGGGCTATTCGATTGTGTCTTGGCTTTTGTATCTTCTTTTTTTCGTTTTTTTTTTCAATTTGATTTAGAAGACATACTATAGTACGTATAGGAAGGGAGGGTGTTTAATGCGTTGTCACGTGACCTTGGGGAAAGCTTGCCCTTTATACACCCTTGTGGTGTACCTTCCCTGGACCCTGCCTGGGAGGAATCTTTCGTGCTCCAGATTGCTCTCTTTTTACTAAAGTACTTATAGGTCTTAAGAGCATTGGTTGTATGGTTATGTAACTAGATGCCATATAAGCTGAGGTAGAAGCCACACACCAAACTCACATACTTTATACGTTCATCCATGAACAGCATTGATCATTAGTAAAGCTTGGTTGTGCTGTAGTTGTACCTGTTAGTCTCGTGCATCAATTGATGTATCTATTACCTAATCTGGAGCACTAACCTCTAGTAATTTAGCGACTTTAAGATGAATGACTGATCTTTACAGTGAGATAGATCTGTCTTGTTGTTTTTATGTCTTGTACCCTCTGCTGATTTGACAAATCTCAGATGCCTCTTCTCCAGCCTGTTTAGCGCATAATGTATCAGTTACCTCATTATCTCACATATCTATCTGTTTGCAGTCATGGCTGGACTGGCTCCCGAGGGTTCTGCATTTGATGCTCGTCAGTATGATACCAAGATGAATGAATTGTACGTTCCACTAACCATTTTTTTTATTTTCTTTGCCTGAAAAATTATTCCGGACTAGACATGGTTCTTGACTACCCTGGAAAAAGCATTTTGTATTTCCCATTCATCATTTAAAATATAAGAGTGATACCCGTAGTCTTGAACTCAGTATTGTCTATGTAGGATATCTATTGATGTGATATGTGGACTTGTGCAGGATGGAATCTGATGGACAGACATTTTTCACATCCTATGATGAGGTGTATGATAGCTTTGACTCCATGGGCTTGCAAGAAAACCTCCTTAGAGGAATATATGCTTATGGTAATTAGTCCCGGTTTCCAATACTCTTTGTTTTTATATAACTAGTAGCCTGAATTTATAAGCTGAAACCATATTTTCTTCTTTGTAACTGTACTAGTTGAACACTAGCATTTAAAGCTGAGAATATACTGCTTTATAATTGATTAGTAGCTGAGGTCATATTATGCCCATGTATACCGCATTATTAGAATACTAGGATTGAATCCTATTATATATGAACATGTATGTCGTATTAAATAGCCTGAGTTTGAAGCTTGCCTATGCAACGGCCTCATGTTGAACAATGGGATCAGTTGCTTGTTGGATGCATCATATATTTTACTTAATGAAAGTTTATAACATTTACTTCTTATGGAGCTAGAGCTCCCCCAAACTTTAATTAAACTGATAGCGAACATCCTCATTTAAGCTAAACAAGCAGGGAATAGATCAATGCAAACATATTTAATTTTAAATTTGCTGTGCTTGAACACTTCGTCAAAAGCTCAACTATTACAAAATTGACCATTAAAGGACAATATAGTGTTCATATTGTAGTCTTCATCCCACACGTTATGGTGTTCATTGCTTGAGTGGTTTTTATTCTTACAGTTATTAGTGGATTTTACTATTACAGTTATTAGATTAGATTATATTTTCTTTTAATGCTATATTTACTTGTGTTAAAGTCTTATGTGTGTGATAAGCTAAATGCTGCTATGGTATTGTGTTAAGGTTTTGAGAAGCCTTCTGCAATTCAGCAAAGAGGTATTGTTCCCTTTTGCAAGGGACTTGATGTCATCCAACAGGCGCAATCTGGAACTGGAAAGACTGCTACTTTCTGTTCTGGAATTCTTCAACAACTTGATTACAACATAGTTGAATGTCAGGCTTTGGTTCTGGCACCTACCCGTGAACTTGCTCAGCAAATTGAGAAGGTCATGCGAGCACTCGGTGATTATCTTGGTGTTAAGGTCCATGCTTGTGTTGGGGGTACCAGTGTTCGTGAAGATCAGCGCATTCTTCAGAGTGGAGTTCACGTTGTGGTTGGAACTCCTGGACGTGTCTTTGACATGTTGCGCAGGCAATCTCTTCGGCCTGACCATATCAAGATGTTTGTGTTGGATGAAGCTGATGAAATGCTCTCAAGGGGATTCAAGGACCAGGTTTATATTATTCCCATATACTGTTTTTATACTTGCGATTCCCCTCACAGGTATACTTGAATATATGGACTTTTTAATCCTGCACTATCCCAGAATATGTTTACTGGTTGATTTGGCATTTGTGTTTAAAAGTTAAATTGTACTGTTGAGATTTAATTGGTGGTGTGAGAAACAATATGAATCACAAACATGTTCCTGAAGAACCCTATTTTGTGACATAACAAAAAAGGAAAAGATGAACTTTATTTCGGATTGCAGGGAGTAACATTTGGTATAATGATTTATTTTTGGCGGATATTATTTTACTCGTACTTGATTTAATCACAATGCCAAAAATTAGTTTCTTTCATCACTTTTTTATTTATATTATATATAATATATTGTTATTATTTCATGTCTTTGTGTTCATAGTACTATTATATTGGCAAAATGCCAATATGTATTGTGATTGTTACTCAAAATGCATATTTTTAGTGTGCTGACTGTTGGTTTAAAACATGTGTTCTATAGACACTAATGTTTGTGTTGCATGTTTTTTTTAGATCTATGATATTTTCCAGCTGTTACCGCCAAAGATACAGGTTGGTGTTTTCTCTGCTACTATGCCCCCAGAGGCCCTCGAAATCACCCGAAAGTTCATGAACAAGCCTGTCAGGATCCTTGTGAAACGGGATGAGCTCACACTAGAAGGTATCAAACAGTTCTATGTCAATGTTGACAAAGAGGATTGGAAGCTCGAAACACTTTGCGATCTCTATGAGACATTGGCCATCACCCAGAGTGTCATCTTTGTGAACACCAGGCGTAAGGTTGATTGGCTCACTGACAAAATGCGTGGCCGTGACCATACAGTTTCTGCAACTCATGGAGACATGGACCAAAATACTAGGGACATCATCATGCGAGAATTCCGGTCTGGTTCATCCAGAGTGCTCATCACCACTGATCTCTTGGCTCGTGGTATTGATGTCCAGCAAGTGTCCCTTGTGATCAACTTTGACCTCCCTACTCAGCCAGAGAACTACCTCCATCGTATCGGGCGTAGTGGACGGTTTGGAAGGAAGGGTGTGGCTATTAACTTTGTCACCAAGGATGATGAAAGGATGCTTCAAGACATACAGAAGTTTTATAATGTTACAATCCAGGAGTTGCCAGCTAATGTTGCTGATCTTCTGTGAGGTGTGGTTTTGGTTCAAGGAGGTGAATTGTTCTACAATAGAAGCAGTTTAAGCTCTTTAATTTAATTGGAGTAACTTATGCGCCAGACACCTAGTGTGGGTAAATTCAGCTCCCGCTCTTTCTTTCAGTATGGGACTGTAGTTTCTCAACATGGTCCAATTCTACTTTTTGAAATTTTTGTTGATTTTGTCCTCTTGCACTGTAAGCTTCCAAGTAAATTGCGGATTTTTAAAGTTGTTTGAGTTTGTGTTTTTTATTTGATTTGGTTTACCAAACCTGTTTTCTCAGTTTTGAGTGCTTTTTTTAAATGGATCATTCCTTGTGATCTGATCGAGTTGATTTTGGTATTTTACAAGCAGTTATGTTGCGTGTAAATTAATTACCTTGAGCTGTTTAATTGGTTTCAGGCCCTCGCCCTTGATAATTAAGCTGTCTCTATTTTAACATTAATATATTTCACGTGGCAATCTAACAATTAACGGATTCAAGAAATGCATTTTGGTAGATGACCATACTAGGATGCTAGATATATACGTGGACGAAATTTATGAAACACGAAATTGAAACAACATGAAGGCAGCAAGACTGACGTTTGCCAAGAATTAGAAAGGCTGTCAATCAAGAAGATCAGTGTTCGGATCTAGAGATGGACTGGGATGGGACTAGGTTGGGCTTTGGGACGGGATTGGGCGGGCTTTAGGCTTAAGGATTTCAGGCCTGGAATCGGCCCGGTTATGCTTTGGGACCGTGTCCGGGTTGGGTCTAATTGTCTAAACAATACCTGACCGGAGTTGGTACCATCCATTTTTTAAAATACCGGGCCCAATCTGGGTCTAAAGAATAAAGCCTGAAGCTTGCCCCTTATAGCCTTTGGTCCGGGCCCCGGCAGTCATAAACAGTCCCCGGCACAGTCATAAACAGTAACGGTTGGGTCAGGTCTAAACAGTATTGGCCCGGGTATGTCAACATTTCCATTCCTATTCGGATCAGGAAATGGAAGTTAATATGTTCGGAGTAATTACCACCATTGCCATAGCTCCTGTGCATTGATAACCGAATTTGAAACTAACTACAACTCTAGAATGTCAATAACTCTAGAGCAAAATGAAGCTCTTGCTCGAGTAAGAATGTTTGAGATTCTAAAAGAAACCCTTCGAACTAGGCATGGACTCGGGCCGGGTGGCCCAACTTGGAACCGGCCCGACACTATTTGGAACCGGCACCAACCGGTGGCCCGGCCAGGGACCGGTCCGGGTAGGCCCGGTCTGGGTTCTTTACGGTGTGGGCTCGGGTAACCCAAAAGACAAACCGGTCTGGCCGGGCTGGGCCCGGTTCCGGGATTTTTTTTCTCAATTTTATTTTGTTTATTCTAGGTTGGGGCTGGGTGTTTTGGGGGGTGGGAGGTGGGGGGGGGGGTTAAGTAGAAAAGCCAAAAAAAACCAAATAAACTAGGTACCCCGAGGCCCGGCCCGACCCGTACCCGGTGGCAACCCGGGCCGGTTCCGGGCCTTCTCCCATTCCTCAAAAGCCTGACCGGGCCTAGGCCCAACCCGGCCCGGTCCCGCCCTGGGTCCATGCATACTTCGAACTTTGCAAAGTAATAAAGCATCACATATTTTACTTGGACACATTGGATGGTAAATGTTAAGTGCACAACAATGGAAAAGAATATCTAAGAATCATCAAACGTGACTACATTTCTTGGTTAATTAGTTAGCAAAGCATTCATAATCTTGCTCAAAAGAAACCCGCATATAACTTCATTCATGTAATATTAGAAAAAGAGAACATCTATCATATGATTCATATAACAACATAGCTGATAAGCAGAAGAAGTTAAGTAGAAAAGGACAAATAAACATAAAGAGCTGAGCATTGAGCATGGGATGAAATATGCCAATATTATCACAAGTAAATTCATCACTTCATGATGGACATTCTGTAACATATAAACAAAAATAAGGAATTTAAAAATTCATTTAAACAAACTCCTATATATGCACATGACCCAATTCATTGTTTTCTTCTCTCTTGGTCATTGTGTAAATTGTATGATATGTGCAAGTAAAATAATTTTGCTCAAAAGAAGCCCTACAATAATTTGTAGTTTTGTACCATTTTTTGTGTAATTATGTTTTTGATCAAAATGTAAATGATCATAATTATGTAACTTAGCTGCAAAGTAAACTATTATTGAGTCATTCAAGTATTAAGCAAGAGATTACAAATGTACAACTCTCGCCTTTTCTCAAGTTATGTAGTAAATATGAGATATCAACGTTCTATGCTTCCAACGGACCAACGCAACATTTCTCCCAAATTTCATCTCCCAAATGGAAGAAGATGACAAGAGGGAGTTTACTCGAGCAAGACAAGTTTAAATGTTCTCTATCTGCATTTGCAACCCAAAGAATAAGATATTAACAGCCGCACCCCACCCGTCATACTTTTTGTATATCCGATAATAACAGAATAAGATTCCTTGACAAATACGTAGTACGGAGTAACTTTTTTGCTCCTGATTTCACTATCACCACCATCTTGTTTTATACTTTTATCAGCAATAACTTTAAACCTCCATTCTAAAAAAAATTGAACCTCTATGCTCTACCACTAGTGTGAAAGGCACTTCAAATCTTGAAGGATATAATTATACAACTGGATAACTGATTTATCAAGTCTGCAGATTGAACAACATTTCTGAGAAGTCTAATCATCCTCAACACTGGCAAGTTTGCTGCCAAATGAATCGTGTATGTCTGCCTGAAAATAGCTACATCATGTGTCATGGGAAGTGATATATATTATACCTACACAATGCCAATTCAGCATAGTGGTACATGTTTTGCAAAGTTGTATGCTCTAACAGTTGTCACATTATTAGAGCAAGTCACAAGTGCCGATTGCCCGACTCAACATATGAGACTTTTCCCTGTGGCGGACACATGCTATTACAAAAGCTCAATGCTTTCTACAACTCAGTAGCAAACTCACTGCACAACATGCCATCACCAGTTCTATTTTTGCAACTACACTTCTTAAACTTAAAAGATACTCCATATTACTCCTTTGTGTAGACTGGTTCAAGTGAGGTTGACTTTCCCTTCAAATACGTGAGTGTATGTACACACCATGGCTAAGCATGACAACGGTATGCTCCACCTAGTTGGTTACAAAGTTCTATGTGTGCATTGATTTGAAGCCTTCTGTTAGAGTAACTACTTTGGCAGTCAACTTAGGTTGCAGCTTTGACACACCTTTGCGGATGTCCTGTAATTGATGAATAAATTTGACTTAAATAGGATTAAAACACGAGTCATGTGCACATATAGGAGTATCGTCTTGTGTTAAAAATATGACTCATTTAGTCCTCAAAAAAGGAATAACACTAGTTAACTGTACTTTTATGAGTTAATGAATGAATAAGTCACATTTAAGAATATGCATTTTTAATCACATTTATAATCTTTCCCATAAACAAATCATTTTATAAATACTTAATTGGTTTTTGGGGAGGAGGCATAATAGCATAGAAAAATGAGCCATTTGTGTTCTGTTTAATGGATGCACAATAAATTGATACCTCTAGATTGTAGCGTGGAGAGAAATGGGTTAGCACAACTGTTTTACTTCGAATCAACTGGGCATGCTCCATTATCTACAATCAGGTTGATACAGAGATATGAGGTATACAGAGATATTCTATAGAGGAGGGTTTGAGACTCTGTGCTAGCGTCTCAACTCTAAAGTTCAATAATATCTCTTCCACTTAAATATACCGACAAGAAAGAAATAGAAAATGACGATTAATGCAATAATTCTACTCCCCTGTCCCTTGTCCCATTTGACCTTTTTTGTTCGCCCCCCTAAGTTTGTCCCATACCATATTTGGTAATATTTGGATGATTGCAATTTATTTTTTATTTTATTCACACTTCCAATTCAATACCAACCGCACAATTTCACTTTTCTTAATAACTGCACCACTCCCTCTTGTTCCAATCTTAGGGGGACGTAGTCACGTAGATAGTATTATAGTTTCAAGTTCATAGTTTCTGAAGGGCTAGAGGATATAACTTTGCTTATGTATAAAAAGGAAATCTAACAGAAAAACTATAAAAGTACTAAAACTATGATAACAATATTAGATGTTACAACTTCAACAGATAATCAACTATAAAAAAGGGCAGTCCGGTGCACGAAGGCATCGCCGCAAGGCAAGGGTCAGGGGAAGGGTCCCACCACAAGGGCGTATAAGTGGCAAGCCTTCCCGGATTCCCCTGTCAAATTTTGACAAGAGGCCAAAGCTTTCGGTCAGACAGTCACACAACAACGCCATAATCGGTGCGCCAAGGCTCTCCTTCAACGGATAGTAAACTATAATTAAAATTAAGATAACCATTTCACTACTTTAACAGGCTTCAAATTACCTCGGATATATGAGTATGGCCATGCTCTCGTGCATGCTCAATGCTGACACTTTCATCCAAAAAAGTTGCCTGTAACATTTTTATGGCTGTCACCATTAAACCATTAAATATGAATGTTACATATTTCTTCAACCACACCCAAGGAGAAAAGCAAAATTTTAAAGAATGTTGACCTGTTTGGGCTGTTTGCCTGTTTCCCTTTTAGTTAAGGGTCAATATAATGGAACTGATTTGCTGAATGATAAATTTTAGTTCTACTCCACAAAGTCCAATATACTTTTCAGAGCTTAATTACATTTGAGTATTTGACAAATAAATAACACATACCAACATTCATTTTTTTACACTTCATGGCTAGGTGAACCATGTCCTACACTATTGCATTATGTGTTTGATGAACTTACAATAAGGAACATAAACCAAAAAATTACCTCAGTGATAAGAACTTTTGCTCTCAAGGCATCGGCACTTTTGGGATCAACATAAAAATCTGATGTAGTATCTCCAGTGAAGGCCACCTCAGGACACAGTATAATATCTGTAATCTACCAAATGATTATCTGTGTTACTCACTTGTTAATACCACCAATGCTCAATGGCATAACTATATGACAGAGCCACAAACCTGAGTTCCAGATTTCTTCAGTTTCTCGATCTGTTTACCCTGAAGGTGTAGATATTGCTTTTTCAACTTCTTCCGCAAAGAGTAGATGGCATAACCCTGTACATATGAAAACCCTAAATCACAGGTTGATGACAAACAAACCACAACTGTGTTTGGCCTTGATCACTTGATGTCATATTAAGATTTGGAGTGCTATACTGATAGGGAGAATAACCTAGGATTGCATATATTAGTTTTAAAATTTGGTGTAGGACAAGCACTTCAACGGTAAGGAAACACACAAAAATACTCAGTACTAACTTTGAATACAAATTAAATGTTCATGAATACAGAAATGGCTCCAGTGCTGACCAGATCTACAGCATGTAAGCAGATCGTATAAAGC